AATTAAGGGCGTGTCCACTTGAGTGACAGGTGGATTGCCGCTGCTGTCACCACCGTCGCGCTAGGTGGGCATAGTTTCAGCAACCTGCTCCCGCCTCTTTGCGCATTTTCGATTATACGGGAGTGACGCGCTGCCAAGATGGCGACGGCCCGCTCCGCCCACTTTGAGCTTCAAAAACGCTCTTCAGAAATCTACGGGTGACGTCACGAACACTACGTCAATGTTTTTATACAGTCTATGCTTTCATCACATAAAAGTCGACTTTAAAACATCAGAAGTGTTCAACCCCTACATGACAAAAACATTTAATTTTTTCCCAGGCCCAATCAATTACTGTCCTTCCTGCCTGTCAAATGTCTCCCCAAACATACAAAAAAACATGTAATTGTTAATAGCCTCAAGAGATGTTGAGGCAAATGTCATTTTAACACACACTCGATGTTCAAAGAACATAATCATTTCAACAACAGTCATTTTATCATGATATGATTATTATAAACATATACCAAGAATAAATCACGCACTGATCTCCATCTTTATCTTCTGAAGTCATGAGATAACACTTGAATGTCCCTTTCTCATTACGAGTGCGTTGAATCTGTTTATGGCCTTTTGTGTTTCCTAGTGTTTTCACTAGAACTAAATGGAAAGGTATTAATGTTAATGCTTATTTACTCTCTTCAGTGCAGTTCTGTCCTCCCACTTGTTCGGAGAAACAATGAATCTGCTAGGAAAACTTGGCTGCATGCTCAGCATACTGGGAAGCACTATAATGGTTATACATGCACCTGAAGAGGAAGAGGTGACGACGCTTACAGAAATGACCAAGAAACTGCTGGATCCTGGTTAGTGTTTCAATACCTTTAGTTATAGAACAGAAAACATGTTGTAATGGATAACAGCAGCTTTTTCTGCTTCTCCTAAAGGTTTTCTGGTGTTTGCCAGTATTCTGCTGGTTGCTTGTATGGTCCTGATCTTCTACGTCTCTCCTCGCTTCGGTCAAACTAACATATTAGTATACATCAGCATCTGCTCTCTGCTTGGAGCGTTCACTGTGTCCTCGGTCAAGGGCCTCGGCATTGCAATCCGCACCATGTTCTCTGACCTTTCAGTGGTCCGTCACCCTCTCACCTGGATTCTTTTGCTGACCTTAATCGGATCCATCATCATCCAGGTCAACTATCTGAATAAGTCGCTGGACACCTTCAATACGCTCTTGGTGTATCCCATCTACTATGTCTTCTTCACCACCGTTGTTCTGAGCACCTCTGTGATTCTCTTTAAAGAATGGGGAGCCATGTCAGGAGTGGATGTGGTGGGCACCATCGGGGGCTTCTTGGTGATTGTGATCGGGGTGAGCATGTTACACCTCTTCAAAGACTTGAACGTGTGTTTTGAAGATCTAAGAAGCAACCTTTGTCAGCCACAGAGCCCGTCAAAGATGGAGGACAAGCACATTCTCATAGAGAACATAGAGAGCCTGCCGCCTATGAGAGAGGAAGGGCCCAGAGTCTTCATCATCAGCTGAGATTGTATCAGATCTCAGCTAGTTTGAATATACAGTTTAGTAATATCCTCACTTATTGATCTTAATTGATGATTTCCTCTGCTGAAGGCTGCTGTACTATGACGCAGTGATTTGGATTGGCTGCTGCTGAGTACGGTGATGACGCAGAATTTTTTTTTTTTTTTAATATTATTTTGCTGTTACTCAAATTTGTGACTTGAATCAACTTTAGCAACCTTGGAAATGTTTAAAGACTGAAACAGCATGATGCAGCAGAACTTCAAATCTTGCTGAAAACTGCCAGTGAAGCACCTAATATACAAAATATTTTTTTTCTCTTGAACGGAACTGTGTGGGTTATATTTCCAGAGAAATATCTTGAAATAGACCAGTGAATCTAAAATATTTGCATTAATTTTGAATGGCAAATTAAAAAAATATATTTCAAAACATTTGTTTTTCACATACTATTAAGACAA